TCCACTTGTGTTTGTAATATAACATTTTCCTGTCACACTTGAAGGTCTTATCTGGAGGCTTATATAGAGCACATCCCACTAGAAACAGAGAGTAAAGCCCACAAAGTGTTACACCTATGTCAGGAGAGAGATTTGCTTGCGCAAGGTAAAAAATGTAATTTTAAAAAATCAATTTTTACATCAAATTTCTTTCTGAACGCATTATTTTGTTTTACTATACAGTCTAAAGTATAGTGCGCTCAACAAGAAATTTGACGAAACTTTGATCGTGTGAACTGAATAAAAGATTCAACCAAATTTCCGCCGATCAATTTTCCGTCTATGACATTTTTTTTCAAACAAATTTCCTGTAGCCGAATAAGATTACTTATTAATTGCATGTTAAGAATAAATTCCTCCAGTTACCAAAAGCAGTAAATAATTGTATGATTATGTGTAACAGCCCAGAGTGTTTGCAAGGTCATGGGAATGAAATGTTTGAAACAAGACCGCCTGGGATCTGCACTCTCCTGGTTTCTGAAGTCTAAGGTAATGTTTAGGCTATAATTGTCATCTTGTTTGTTGTTTTATAAGTTATTTAGATTCAGTGATGCCTTTTACTGGCTTCAGAGCATCTACTATTTCAAACATTTCCAAATGAGTTTATTAAGTTTTTTAAACTAATTTTTTAAAATTGTTAAACTTGTTTTTTTTCTGTGTTTTCCCACTTATCTTGTTAGAATGCCACATTTCAAATTCATAAGTTCCAATAAAGTTTATCTCCATCAGGACAGAGCACCAGGTTAAAAATCATTCCATCATTCTAACACAATGAATGGAAATAGATTCTAACACAATGAATGGAAATAGATTCTAACACAATGAATGGAAATAGATTCAAACACAATGAATGGAAATAGGTTCTAGTGCAATGAATGGAAATAGATTTTAACACAGTGAAAGGGCTTTGATTCTAAATTTGAAAATATTTAGTGGAAGTGTTAAAAATGTGTGAAGTGTTACTGTATCTTTTCAATCTCCCCAGAATGCTACAGTGATCAAGCAAGTAACAGACAGGTGAGTACCGTACTCAAGTTTACAGGCTGATCCACCAATGGTGTCATTTAATCTTAAATACCCAGTAAAGACAATATCACGAGAGGATATATTTACTATAACAGCTGTTTGAAATGGGGGCATGAACCTTTCACCTGTTACTAGGTTGTTGTGTTGTATCCTCTTTTTTTTTTTCTCTTCACTTTTTCCCCTACCTTTTCTTTTACATATTTCCTTAAACCTAACCTGGTTGCAGTCTCTCCCCCTTTATTATTAAGTCATTAACCTAAGTTGTGAACCCTTCATCTGCAGATTTTTGACAGAATACTGTGAAAAGGGCAAGTTTTCTCATCTGGATCTGATTGACCACCTTGGCCCATCTATGCTTGTCACCAACAGCTTGACATTTCTAGGTACAACTCTATAATCTCCCTTCATGGATTCATTTATTTGGCTCCAATTCTCAGTGTTTGGTTTATCAGTTTAAATCAATTTTCATTTGACCCATTAAATCCCAAAATAATTTTGGATGCTAATTTTTTCAGAGTTGAATGACTTTAGACTTTCTAATATCTTGAGGATAGAAATCGGTTTCAATAACATTGGGTCAATAATTTTCAAAAATATAAAGAGCAGATGGCCGGTGTCGTATTACCCACTAAATTTTTGAGTCTGCTTTTCAAATAGCTGTCATAATTTTTTTTAAACGCACAATTTTCTTTAATTCATTTTTTATTGGCTATGATCTGTCCAGGGAAATATCGTGAATTTCACACACTCTACGACAAAGGAGACATCCAAGGTGCAACCAGTTTATTGCTGTCACTCATCTCATCAAGACTTGCACCCAAAACGTAAGTATCCACTGTTTGGGCTGTCACTCTGTCTTAATGGTACATGCTATGAGGTGGCCAAAGACAACCATTTTTACACCTTGATTGAAATGCACCTCAGATATTTGAGAATGGGCTAATTTTATTTTCTGATGACTATGGTTTTGATGTGTTAACGTGGTCAAATGTTTATTCGGCCTCCCCCTCTGTTCATACCAAATACAAGGTACTCAGTTTCTTGATACTGCATCGTAAATTTGTGCCAAAGGAATTTGGACTATTTCTTTTGATGAAGATACCAGACTTTTCACTTAAAATGTTTAATTCCATTAATAATCTATTTACTTTTTTAGATTCTGGATGACCATGTTGATGGATGCTTTACCACTTTTAAATTTACCTCAGGTTAGATAAAATTTATATTCACTTATTTATTTTTTTTTCAACAATTTCATTACATTTGGCTTTCAAAACATATTTACCAGTGTATACGGCTACTGTTTACCACAGTCCTAGGTTATTTACCAGTGTACACAGCTACTGTTTAACACAGTCCTAGGTTATTTACCAGTGTACAGGCATCTATTTACTATTGTACAAGGTTATTAATGGAATCTGCTCACATCAGTGGCGCTATAGTCCATTAAGGGCTCTCACTAATCAGCACCCCATCACATCCCTCCATTAAGAAGAATTCATGGCTTGTCTTCTCCTTGGGCAGAGCCCTAGGTGTTGGAAATCTGCCTCCACATCATCAATCCATCTCAGTGGAGGTCAATGGATGCTGTTTATTTTAGTGCCAAGCCATTGAACACAGCATCTGTTTATTTTTGTACCGTACTAGGTTATTGACCAATGCACAGCACATTTGTTTTGACCCACACACTCAATACACTTGTGTTCCATTGGCCAGGTTGTCTTAAATGTCCAGCAGACCTATGAATTGAAGCACTGTTTAGAGGAGCTCCAACGAGACGGCACATCCAATTATTATAAGGTACAGCAATTTAACAGATTAACACCACAAACAAATCCAAATGGATTGCACTGCTGCAGATTACAGGATTTATTTATCAAATGATTATGCGTATTTAATCTTGACTAAAGTTGTCCTTTATTAATAACCAGGACAAGAAGAAAAGCCTTTCAACTATAAATAAAACAGTTTTTTTTTTTTTTAGCACCTGATGATACTCACAGTAATGTAGTTTCCCCATGTCAATTAACAATGTGGTTGTCTATTAATGTAAATATGATTTAATGTCTTACATATATTTCAGAATCTAAGTGATAGTGAGATGGACAAATTGAGACTGCTGCAGTTAGCTTTGATAAGGAATCTGTCACGAGCCATTATTAAAGAGGGCTCAATAACAAACATTGCATGAGGGTGTGACTTCATGCAGCTCTGTACTTGTTGTGAAGGAAAACAGCACCAGGTATGAAAGTGGAAGCGCAGCAATAAAAAAAACCCACTTGACTTTGTACATTAAAGTTATCTGTAGGAATCATCCTGATGACATACTTCAAACCTCTAGTACACAGAAGATGGGCTATTTTTTGCATTGCCTGGAATAGGGATCTTCAGCATTTGTTGATGGGACTGAGCATTTCTCAACATATGTCGTAACAATTAAAATGTATTTAAACTTATCTTTGTATGTAAAAATTGTTTGTATTTTATTAAGCACTTATTTGTAATAAACGCTTTGATCAATTATTTCAAAGCTTGTTTGTTAATATTATCAATCAATGTTAGAAAGTAACCCTGGACATCTTATCTGCTAAATATACATACAAATCAAAATAAAATAATACATTATTTAATCAACTTTCAATAATCTGAGCTTATTGTGGAGCTGGGCACTGCGGACAACCAGAAAAATTATTATGCTTGGTTGACTAAAAATGTCCTCAGTGATTATCTTGCCTGCAATCGAGAGCAAAGATTTGCCGCAAGAATGGCGGTTCCCCTTTACACTTGCACTGGTGAACAATAAATGTGGCCTTGAAATCCTGTGCAATCGTCTCTTGCTGCCATTTTAGTAGGTACAGCTGATAAAGCCTTTCAGTTGGACCTGTGCCAACTTCGTGTATTTCAGCTGGGACTGAGCTGGAGTTCCTGTTTTTCTCCCAAATTTTTTTAATGGGATTTGAGGAAAAGATTTGTGAGGGACAAAAATGCCCATGAAGTCACAGGAAGCCAGAGGAAGATAAAACAACCAGTTATTGGTCTAATGGGAGGAAAATGCTGGTGCCAGCTCTTACTAATCATCCACTGTTGATGAACAGCACTTCTCTTACTAGACTACTGGCACTGTGGTTAACAGTTTCTGACCCTAAAATTTTTTAAAAAAGCCAAACTGTTGATCCAGCCGTATGGGTGTGTCATTAGTTCTGATCCAGCCACATGGGTGCGTCCTTAGTTCTTTCTTTGATCCCTGCCATCATAGACAGGAGTCATAATAGGATAAAGAAACTGATTATTCAAAATCTGTAGATAAAGGAGGGCAGCTTGATAGTACCATGGATTAATCTAGGTGGTACACAGAGATGTAAATGTAGCAAAAAGACAAATACATGATGTTAATTCCTTAACAAAATTTATTGCAGTATTCCTGAATTAGCATCCGCTCATCATAGAAGGGGAGTGGGGGAGTGTGTGATAATAAGAAAAAGTTGTCAATGCCTATTCTAACAAGAAAGACCTTTTTTTGTCAACAAACATTCTACTTGTATGTTACTATTTGACTGGGGGTGGGGGTAAGATTTAGAGGGGCATGTTGGTGCATAGCAAGATCAATTAATTATTTCAGGGATAAATTATTTCTATAAGTTTTTAAAGTTAAACTCTTGTGTTTACATGCTGACACGGTACAGAGTCTACATTAAAAAAAATTTAATTCATTATTCGGTCTCGCAACGAGACAATCATGTGAATCACTCATTACCTCCTTATGAGATATAAAACTTCAATTCAGTGAACAACCCTTCGCATGTTATTTAACCTAAATATAAAATAAATTTAAACCTTCCAACATGGCAAGATTATCTATAAATGGGTAATGTACATATGGAAGAACACATTTTTAGCAGTTTGTTTACCTGGTTCATCAATTGTAAAGTTTGAAGGTACAGTAAGTGATAGAAAACAAACACAAATATAAAGGTTCATGAACTTAACTTTTATTTATGTACCAGTAGTAAAAGTAAATCACAATAAAATGTAAACTGAATTTTTATTTGCTGAAAGACAAAAAGCATGTGAAATTCTGTACATGGTTTTTAAAAACATACCCTTGGAATGCACTTAATTAATACCTGCCTTGAACAGATGGAGTGATAGTATTTCTTAGTGACAGGCTACCCTGTGTACATTGTACAACTGTGAAGTAAGTTTAAAAATACAAATGAACTTTTTGTTGTTTTTTTATAAATGTATTAAATGAAGTACTGCATAAAAAAATGAGTGATGTGTTAAAGTACCTTGAAATGACAAACCAAGAATATCTCTTAAGTCCAATATTATTATGGTAAAAATATAAATCTTGAGCTTAGTGTTCACAAGTATTTTCTTTTGGTCCATTTAAATTTAGGCATGAAATACAATCATAAATCTATACTAGAAATAACCTGCCAAACAATGGTGGCGGCAATGAAGAAATTCCCAAATTACATGACAAAACATGCATTTTAGTAATGTACTTTATAAGAATCTTATTTTGCGCGCCTATTGAACACAGTATTACAGCTACATACATTACTAGAGAATTATTATTTGTTATACATTATATAAAATCAAAAGTCTTAACTTGTTTATTACCAATTTACTTGGAAATATCAATTTTGCGCAAATTCAGCTCTTGATCTGTCTTTATCAAGTAGTTTTTCTGATAGTAAAAATTGAAATTTGAGTGGACACAACTTCTTTTCAGCAACAACAATTAATCTCTATCATTGAGAAGTCTCATTTTAAAGTATGTCATTGCACTCATATAATTAATAATATGCTATTTGTTTGGTGTAATCTATTTACCAGGCCATTTTAACAGTCTAATGGAATTGACACGTGTTCAAACATTTTCTACATACAATTTATTAGTTAAACTACTAAAACTTGAAAATTTTAAAAATCTATAAAATCTGCTCTCTTTAGAAGCAAGCGACCGTTTATATAAAAACTGTTAAAACATGCAGCATCTAATTATTATATCACTGTTTCAAAAATGTTTACCACTTTTAACACAATTCAAACTAAATGTCACTTATGAACCAAACACCACCCACTATTTGAAAATCCCATGCACAAAAACTCAACTTGTTACATAACTTTCCAGAAACAACTTTATATCACCATCACAGTAATTAATGTATGAGTAATCACTAAATTACAAAAAGAGAGAGGACCGTGGAAAAGCTCAAAGAGGTTATAAAGATAATAATCATAATAAACTAAGGTAAAGCTTGGTAAATACCAGTATAATTTATTTTTAAAAGCTATAGCTTAACTTCATAGATATATATTATGATTTGAGTGTGAACTGAAGAAAATATTAATTACTGTAGTTTGTCTATTAAATTAAATGCTTCACCTTACATAATATTACTTTTATTAGTTTTAACCAGTTTAACTCCTTAAAAAAAGTGTATAATTTATTTTTTAAAAATATATATTACAAAAAGGGGAAAAGCCTTTCTTTAAAATGGCATCAGCTAAGACAATGAATTTTGAATTTATTATTTCAGTTATATTCTGTCAATAATTCAAATGAGTTACACATCATTATAATAAATATAATGTTTACATATATTCTGTGAGGGTTAACCAATTCCACTTTTGAAGAAATCAAAATGACAACAATCACTGGGATGTGGTGACAGGCTGAATGGTGATTTAACACTGAAAGCACTGAGCCATGGGATTTACAAGCTGAAACAAGATGAGAATGTGGTAAGTCTAGTTGATTCCGGTTAAATATTTTTCTCTCTTCAAAATGTCTTCTGGTAATAATGCCTCATCATCCATGATTCAAATTAACTATCCAACTGATGTATTCCATTCATTATATTGTAATTTTACAGACAAAAAGAGTATCCTCTGATTATTTTTCATCAGGAATTTTCATAGCATCTTAAGATTTGATGATCCTTTTATCTAATACATTCAGAAATATAATTGTTTTTTGATAAAGCTCTGGATTTCCTGATTTCATTTTTGACTTGCAAACGATGAGTTTCCATTTATTGCCAACCTATGGCTGCATGCCTCACACATTGCTTACAATATAATTTGCAGTAACAAAAGCGATACATATACAAGCCCAGACTAAAGTCAATATCACCCAGCCCTTGTGGGAGAAAGGTGATCGATGCAGGTAGCTCCCTCCTATAGCTAAAATGTCTCTCCTGGCTAAGAGCACCAGGACGGCAGGTATGATATATTGTATACCGGCACCGGCATATGACCCTGTGATGCCAACCAAAAACTCAACCTGATTGGTCCCCATGGCCACAGCAAAGGGCGGGATTATGCAAAGCAAGGGACAAACCAGTTTTGGCAAGTACCACGCTAGTTGACCTGAATGTGGAGTGATCATTGCCGTTAGATTGTTGCGTAACGTAATGGCAATGATAGGGAAGCTAGTTGAGATGGTGAAGACAGGAAACAGGGCCAGGAAATACTGAATCGGCACAACATCTGTCAGCGGAGCACAGCTGTTTGGTTTGAAGTTAAGTGTGTACAAGTCCTCGATTTTATCCACAGCAAACACGGCAGTGAAGCTAAGCACCAAGTAGAATATCAAGATGATGGTGTAGTCACCAGCTAGGACTGGGAGCAGACGAGCTTTGTTCTTAATGGGTGTGATTAGAGATGGTAAAGAATGATGGCACATGAAGCTGTAGACACAAACACCAAACAGGTTGGGCACACCCTCAATTTTGGCAACTTTTGGGTGACCTTGACCCTCTCCCTTACCCAAACGTATAGATGCCAGAATGATCATCATAAGGAATGCTGCAGATAAAATAATAAATGACTCATTTTAATATTTTAATTACCATGTAACAAAGGTGATGTACAATGTAACAAAGGTGATAAACAATGTAACAAAGGTAATGTACAACAGCACAAATGTTTCTCCTTAATTCCACATAAGCTGAAATATTTTTTCTTTAACGAGTATATCACAGGCTGTGAATGCAACTAACCTGTCCATCTAGCCACAGATGTAAGCACTTGTAGATACTTGGTCTTTTGAACGTTGAAAAATGTAAATGGTCCAAGAAGAAGTATGAAACACGCCTGGAATAAAGTGTATTCATTATATAAGTGACATTTAAATCTTCAGAGTGCACTCAGGGTATTTCACTACAATTAATCTATCAAATTTTGCTAATCCACTACCACGGTTGTAGTTAGTCTTTCCGAATTAAAAGTTAAATTTTATTTTTTTACTGGTATGCTTTTACTTAGTTTTTGTGTGTGTGTTAATTATCTACCATTTGCACAAGTTAAATGAGGTTTTTAATAAATTTACCACAAAAATTCTGTATGCATCCATTCTGCTTATATGTCCATCCTCAGACCAGCATGGATCACTGTCTGATTGGCTTTGGTTGCAGTTTCCTGTGCTATTCTTCCTATAAGTGCTGTTTGGTTAAAAATTAGATTAAATTGTTTCAGAATAGGGGCTCATAATACATATACATNATATATATATATATATATATATATATATATATATATATATATATCTGTATACACATTAAAAGATAATTATACCCCTCTTCATTCATACACAATCTTCACTAGGTGGTTGAAACCAGAGAGTTCTCAAGAACTTCTCAGAGTAAAAAAAAACAGAACAACAAATAATTAACCAAAACAAAAAAAAATCCCAACTGTGAAGATAGGTTAGACCAGAATCTAGTCACCGCAAAATTCTATGTTCAGTTTACCAATTGGTGATATGAACATTGTATTATCACCTATTTAGTTTACCAAGCTGCTTGTCGCCTCTTTGAGACTACCGCGTAAGGAAGAAAGAAATGAATTGTAGGGGCTAGTAATACCTTAACATCTATATCGATATATCAAGATACTTTATAAAGTCGCTGCAAAGAATCCCAAAAATCAACAAAGGTATTGTACAGAATCCTATAATTCAACACTAGTTATTTTTTAAAATCGCAGAGATCAAACCAGCTTTAACATAACAACTACTAACTACCTTTCACATGTAAACAATGCTTTGCATTCACTCACCAAGCAACATCTCGGAGAGTCTTGGGTACAGCTGCTGAGTAAATGGCCAGGTCCCCAAACAAGTAAATGATGATGCACAGATGGAAGAAGAGCAGCCCCACTAGAAAATTATTTTTTTTTAAAATTAATATTACTATAGCTTATAATTTTCAAAAGTGATTTGTAGATTTTTAATTAAATTTAAAGTTGTGAAAATCTAAATTTAATTTAATTCCCGCTGTTGATTTTTGCAATGTGCTAACCTTTGACCTGACTCAAAAATTGAAGTCAATAATGCTTCCTAATGAGTGCAGATAACCCAAATTCCAAGAAACCATGGTCCCAATATCCTTCTTTCTATTTCTACTGTACTCATTGAAGATCTTCTTGACACTTTAATTACGGTATAGGGCAAATTTTATTGCCATCCTAGATTCTTTATTGAATAAGGAAGCTGGAAAAACCCTCATTTTGATGTAATTACTTTTTTTTTTTTTTAAGTATTAAACTATACTAAATAATGAAACAGTGCAAATTAGGATATTTTCTAAAATGGTGCAAATACCTTTGCCAAAGTACATGGATGCCATTGTGCCCTTTCTTTTTTGAATAAGGAAGCTGGAAAAACCCTCATTTTGATGTAATTACTTTTTTTTTTTTTTAAGTATTAAACTATACTAAATAATGAAACAGTGCAAATTAGGATATATTCTAAAATGGTGCAAATACCTTTGCCAAAGTACATGGATGCCATTGTGCCCTGAAACAAATATTTGAGAAAGTCATGAAACAAAAAGCTTCAAAGGCAAATAATTGTCTAAATTGCAGATTACTTAAAAAACTAAAATTGTTTTATACGAAACCATTGGTTTTTTTTTCTTGAATAGGGACATTAATATTGAACATTGGCTCTCCAAAAAGAGAGAGAGAGAGAGAGATGAGAAAATTACCATTTCAACTCTTTGAGTGATTTCAAAGCTGGGTTTGATCTCTGAATCTGTTAAAAAATTTAAAAAATTAAATTACTCTAACTTTTTTTTACTGTAGTCTTTTTAGTTCACAGAATATCACAATATTGAAAGCCACTGAAGTATATTAAGTCTACACAAATTTATTTCTTTTGTCTTCTACGTCTTATATTTGAGGGGTTCACGATCAATGTGTTGATCATTCTGGTTCTGGTTTTAATTCAGAGTTTGCCTTCTCTTAGATGAGTTGCCGTCCAAGGCTAACGAGTCCCATCCACCCGGGGTGGTGTGGATTGAACTCCAGACCACCAGCTATTTGGTTTGAGACAGTTTAGACCGCTCAGCCACCCAGCAAGACTAAATTATTTATTTTATCGATATTTGGGAAACTTCAACTTTTTTTAATATTATACATTTTTCAAATTAATTTTCCATGAAATATAAATTTGAAACTATTACCCTTCAATCAAGATATAATTTCACTATTGCCCATCAAGTCTATATTCAAAATAAAATAATAGTGTTTCAATATTTTGAAAATTAAGCACTTGCAATTGGTAGGAGGTTTGTATATAAGTGGCTGTCTTTCATCTGTGTTCATTGATGTATCCAAGGAATCTTCTTTCTGGAAACAAGAAAACAAATTGAAATTAAAACATTTATTTGATTTTAAGTATGACATAGTAGATATGTTGATTTTTTTTTCTTTCTCAAAATGCTCAAATCTTACCATTTGTCTAAGAGGACAAATTGTTTCACTTACCAAACTCCCTTTAGAGACAACTTCTTGAAAGCGTAGCTTAGCATTTGAGATGGCCATGGCCTCCGTCATGAATGTCAGAGTCAAGTAGCTGTAAATTATTTAAATAAGAATTAGACAACTAAAAAAATAAATGGTTAAAAAAGCTTTTACATTATACATACATAAATATATATATATATAAATTATACACACACACACATATATATATATTTATATAGAGAAGCTATTGACACTTCATTAAATGGCTTCTGAAGCCGATCCTGGAATGGTAATCTAATGTAGCTTGTGACATCTACAATTTGTGACTGTTCAATTCTTCTTGAATAATTTTAGGTTTGGCTAAATATAAAAATGTAAAAAAGACATGATCTTCTTCATTGGCTTCCCCCGCCCCTTGCATTGGTAGTCTGGAACAATACATGTCATAATACTTGAATGCCTATATTGTATGCAAAAACATATAAGTAAATGTTCTAAATATATTCTCACCTCATAAATGCTAACACAATGACACCAAATAAACTGAGAAGCCACCCAGCCTCTCTGAATGCTGCAGGCATCGTCAGTGCACCAGTTCCCACAATGAGGTTAAACACATACACAAAGCCAACCTGATATTAATTAAATGATGTGTTATTCTCTTAGAAAAAATTTTGTACTACAATCATTAAAAAGTGCTTGAAAAAAACATGAATTCTTACAATTTAATTTTTAATTATTTATATTGCTAAATTGTAATAATTTTTTAAAGTTATACATTCTATAATTATAATAATAATTATAAAAAATCTTACCAGCCTTGAGTACTGACCACCTGAGTCGGTCAGTACTTGAACATTTGAAGGTTCATGTCTAGATCCAAAATTCATTTTGTGCCTCTGTCTAACTGTAAGCTACAAGGAAAATGGTTTTAAGTCTAAGTGATGACATGACATGATTGATTATAATTGATAATGCCACCTGTAACTTGGAAGCACATTCTTAAAAATTTAATCATAAATTATATATACTAATATCCAAGTTATAGCCTAAATATGACTATATTTATTAGCACTTTTAGATCTAAGTACTAAGTATCAGTGTCATTAAATTAATGACTAGACTAAGAGACTCTATTAAAATAAATTTAAGTCAAAGACAGACAAGTAAGCAGTAATGAGTAAGTCTGAGTAAGGGTAACCCCAAGTAAGAAATCATTTCAGAAGAAATGACTTGATAAAATTCAATTTAATCAAGTATTATATTATGGTTTTTCAGTAACTTCGCTCAATTCAAGTTCAAGGCGTGCAGGTGCAAGTCAATGGATAGTATAAGATTAAGATAATCAATGCCAATGATGATGTATAATGTTCAGTATAGTCTATAGTCGGGCAGTTCAGTCGAGTGAAGTCTTGTCGCAGAGATTTTGATTGAAGTTTAAATTTAATTTATATTTATATAATATACCTATATATACGTATTTTAACACTTTTTTTTAATACACCATTGCTACTGCTACTAATATTAATATTATGTACTTCATTAAATTCTACTTTTAGTGTGTGGGTTAACAACTTTACTTAGCGTTTGCTTGAAAGTTGTCTAATTAAACTGGTAAAACGATTATTGGTATTGCAAAAAAAAAGAATGTAATCGATTCGTACCATCCAAAGGTTGAGGCTTTGAACATTTTCAATATTGACACTAAGAAACGCTTTAAAGTAACGTAAAAGATGATCTATAAATAAACCAAAATGAAGCAAAGCATTTGATTTTAATTTGTAACGACGTTCCTCGTATCTTTTATAATGCGTTAAATTTTAATAATAATAAAGTTACTGTAAATTATAAATTATAGTCTTATTTTTAAGAATGTTGACTTTGAATTTTAAAAATTAAATTTAAAAATTAAATAAACTTTAAATGTTCATAATAGATTAAATATTACTTAATGAGCCTCTTTGAAATAATTAGTATATACTCAAATGAAGCAAGTTAATTTATAAGGAGGTGTTGTGTTCAAATTTCAGAAAGAACTCTTTCAATTATATTCGACTACTACAACTAGATAATGAAAAATGCCATACCAGATATAGAAATAAAATCATGTGTCCTAATCACGTGACAAAAGGGTTGTACAAAATAAATATACAATGACGTCATATTCGGTGAATTGTAATATGAAAGAAATCTGGATCGCTTCCAAAATGATGGAAAGAAGGAATTACGATATAGTGGCGGCGTAAATTTCCTGTGACATATACTTATATATTCGCAACCAACCACATTTTTTCGGGGAAATATGTGTCTTTTCTAATTTCCCCTTTATAGAAATTAGCTATAAGTTATAACTTATTATAATAACTACCCAGACTAGCGGTCCTACAACAAAAATTAGTCACCTCATTTCATTTCAACATTTAGTTGCGTAGGCTGTAGGGAAATACGCTAAATTAGTGTAAAATATACCTTTTGGGACCTCAGCTTAAGAACCTTTTTTTAAAAATTGGGATACATGATCGTTTGGGGCTGGGGTCGAGGAGATGCAAGGGAAGTTGGGAGTTGGTGGGCCATGCTTGATGAGTGAAACCGTCATAAATAATAATTAACTTTTACTGGCTAATAAATCTGTCTGGATGAATGAAGATCAAGTGCAATGGCTTTACCCTCTATGTTAAATTGAGACTTTTGCATGACTTTAACGATGTCGGTAATTAAGACCCATGGGCCATTCTTAAAGTACTTACGCTCCGGAAGGGTGGGGTGGGAAGTATGATAGTGTGTAACGGGGGGGGGGGGGATACAGATTTTTTATGTGACGTCACTCATTTATAATATCACACACATAATTGCAATTGACAGCAATTTTAACTTTCTGTTATGATGGATGTATTCTGCTAGAAGATGTCACTTTTATAAATTTAATAGTTTAATAGTGAAGTGTTATTTAGATTAAATTTTCTTTTTTTAAATTTTTAAAAAATATTTTGTTGTTGTTTTTTATTTTTGCACACAATTTTTTTATTTGAAATTGCATTAAAAAAAAAAAAAGTTTGGGAGGGTCATGAGATTTGTGACAGACTGTGACATGGGGAAGGGTACAAATTGTCAAAAATAAATTAGCTGACATTACTATTTGCAGAGTTGTAGTTGAAGACTTTAATTGTGAATTTTCTCCGTAGTTTATCATTACAATATTGCAATTATGAATGCTAAATAGTAATTAATTAATAATAGTTAATTGTCATCAATAATCACAAGCATGGGACTGATGATGGCAGTGATACTTGTATTTTTATTATGACAGTGAATGACAGGCTCCCATTAATTTATTCCGAGTTAATCGGATTTTCATAAGTAGCCTACGAGGCGAGAACCAAATCGTTTGTGCTTTTCTTTCTAACTAAAGCCGTCTTCCTTGACTCAGTCATCGATGACACTTTGAACTTTTGAATAATTCCTCTCCGTTTAAACGTAAAGGGTTGATCTTGATAAAATATTTGATTGAGTTAACGGAACGTCTTGTTAGGCTATCCGCAGAGTTTATCGAATCAAAAATAGAACGAGGATTTTAAGCCAGTTAGTAAGGGAACGGGGTCTTACAGGATGAGTAACCGAAGCGATGATTGGATTAATTAAAAAATAAACTGGTAAATTCCCCGGTATAATCTCAAGACGTCCGATTTATGGTGGATTTATTTTTTTTTTAATGTAAACGAAATTTTGGATTCCACTGTCACTAAGGTGGATACATTATTTTATTGGGTAAAATTTGTTGCAATACATGACCCCAAAAAGGTGACAATTAAAATGTTTGTTTTTTTTCTTTAAGGTTTCCTCTTTTCAGTCTAAACAGTGGAAAAAGACGACTCATATTAAAAAAAAAAAAATATGTTTTTTTTTTTATTTCCCGGTTTTTTTGCTTAACCTGTGAAAATCGGAAAGTATTTTCCCTCATCCTCGGATAACATTATTTTAATAATAAATCTATTATAAACTGAATTTAACTAAGAAAGAGTTGATTTTATTGTTGTTTAATTGTTATTGCCTATCAATGAACATAAAACATTGTTAAGGTTAGTTGAGAGGTTTGTCATTTGGTACTAGTTGCTTAATTTTCCTCGGCCCTCTGCTTATCCGGAGTTAAACAAAAGTTGGATACACCGCCTGTAAAAACTTCAATATGTTACTGAATGGGTTTCGCATTCTTTACAGGTCGCTAATTCTAGTTTCGCATCCGTCACCTAATGTTCAAAAATAAATGTTTCTAACAACTCATAAAAAGGGATTCGTTTCGAATATTTAAATTAAAAAAAAAAAAATACACGTATCTATATATGTAGTCATATATGTCTTACTATGTTGATTTTGAAATTAAGGCAACACTACACAATAAAAAGTTAGTTTGACACATTAACATCTTGGGATAAATAATTTACTAGAGCACAGGTTTCCAGTCCATAGGAAATGACCTCAAATGGGGTTGCGAAGGGATACATGTGGGGGTCGCCGGCTGAAGCAATAGATTAATAAGAGAACTAGTGATTTTAAAGTAGCTTTCTTGTTTAATTGGTGTCTTAAAGTTTGAGATACCATTTCAATCATGGCATCAAATATGTGCTCAATTACATTATACTTTAAATTTAAATTTTAAAATGTGCTCCTTTCCTTATTTAAACGTCCTTTTCCCAATATAGAAGGGCACTTTGATTCTATATGAACGTGGTCGTGACTTGAAAACGCACGAGAACTCGTGTAATGGAGCTACTGGGCTTAGAAATTTAGTGAGTTAACTAGATTTTACAGGGCTTGGCTTATAGCAATAATTTTGTACAATCGTTTACTTGATGAAATTTTTAAAAACAAAAAAAAAATTGTATTCTTTTGTAAGTCTTTTGTTTACTAAAAAATCGTGCCGGGATCCCGGGAGAGATTCCTTAACTTGCCAAGCTCCCCACATCATCAATTGAGATTGACCTGCCATACATGAATTGAAGTTCCTATCAGGGAGGGCAGGTCGGACAAACATTATTTAAAAAGTGGGGGGAAAGTGTGTGGAGGTGGGGGTGGAAAGATGGTGCTTAAATGCAAATGTTAAACGCTTTAAATTAATATGTATTTTCAAAAAAACGTTGTGATGTATTCACAATTACAGTGATGTATTCACAGAAAAACAATTACAGTGATGTATTCACAATTACAGTTATGTATTCACAATTACAGTGACGTATTCACAATAACAGTGATATATTCACAATTACAGTGATGTATTCACAATTACAGTTATTTATTCACATTACAGTGACGTATTTACAATTACAGTGATGTATTCACAATTACAGTGACGCATTCACAATTACAGCCAAGATGAATCGAATCGGATTTAATACATTCGATGAGGCTACGGTTCTCTAGATTAGAGGAATGTTTTTATTTTATTTATTTCTTTTATCAATTGTGTCTGAATTTTACACACAAAAAAATGTTTTTAAAGTTTTGTTTGTTGTAGAATCGTGCTCAAAGTCATCGCCGCATTTCACCGGCCACCTTGTGTAAATGCAGATCACAGGCCTTAGGGGGCCATCAATAAGTGACATTTTTTTTTCTTTTTAAAATGGGGGTGTGGGGGTAATATTTTGTGGGTAGCTGAAAGGAGTGGGGGGGGGGGGGTGTGGAATTACAATAAAA